AGCTGATCCTGAAACAGTTTCATGGTCACACACCATCTGGACTTGGTGCAGTTTGCCTTCAGGCATGGATAGCTATAGATTTTGTTTGGATCTGTGGGCTTCATAGCAGCTCCTTCCACCTGGACAATACTGGCAAAAATGTATAATATTTTTATTATAAATAATATAAAGGGGGCTGGAAGGCAGGCTGTTACTCATTACCCAGAAAATATTGCAGTTAGTTTGGAAAGTCAGATATACAGTACAGTTCCGTGTTTAATTTGACTGGTTTAATAAAATACAATACACAATTTAACACAGTAAAGTACATTTCTGATGAAAATCATTTACACACGCTATGATTTTTTTCAATTTAATGATAGTTAAAGAAATAAAAAAATAAGTATAATTTGAGATATATTGGCAAAAAAATGTATATATATAGAAAATAGAAATCAAAAGTAACCCTGAAGTGTTTGTTTCTGTAGAAAAAAAAATTGTCATATGTAGAACACGTACAGTCAAATCTATTGTTATTGCTGGGTCAACTGTCGCTTTAAAAGGGTCATAGACTGCATTGATTCAGTATGTTAGATGCTCTCTAATAACTGCATATTAATTAATATGGCTTAGGTAAGTGCAGAAATTATACAGAAATGATTATATATGCCGGTACCTCACGGTGGTGCAGTGGGTAGCTTGATTGCTTCAGCTAGAAGGTAGCAGCTTGAAGCCTTGGCTGGGTCAGTTGGCATTTCTGTGTGGAGTTTGCATGGTCTCCCCATGTTCTCGTAGGTTTAACTATGAAAAATAATTATAAAATAACCACAGCAAATAATTGAATAACTTCCCTATAACAATGTTAAACTTTTCAAATGCTGTTTTTACATTAAACTAATATATATATTCATTCATTCATTTTCTTGTTGGTTCAGTCCCTTTATTAATCTGGGGTCGACACAGCCAAATGAACCGCCAACTTATACAGCACGCAGCGCATGCCCTTCCAGCTGCAACCCATCTCTGGGAAAATATATATATATATATATATATATATATATATATATATTATATAATTTATTTATTTTTTCATCTAATGGCACTTTAAGACATGTACTTTGAGTTATGGTCCTGCTTTAAAATTAATTCCTTTACAGTCATCTTTCCATCAAGCAAGTTTCTCATGTCAGACCAATGATTGATTGACGACGGGAGCGAGAGGTGGCAGTAACTCACCAAAAAGTTAGTTTTTGACCATCGTTAAACATGAAGAAGAATTTTTCATTCTCCTTATCATGCACAATTATTATAGCCAAACATCAGCTTCACACCTCTGTGATCTGCAAATTAAGCTTGTGTAGATGCTTCGCTACTGAAAAGCTATTTGATTTAGAAAGTAACGACATGCTACAGTGAAATGTCAATGCAATCTCACGTCAATTTGTAACTTTTTGATTCAGATTTTGATTCAGATTCAGTTTAGATGTGGGGTTGGGTGCTTTTTTAAAATTGTACATACAAATTTGTACGAATTAGCCACTAAACTGACAAAACATAAAATACTTACATTTCCTCTTGAGATCAAGCTAGTAGCATCACTTCTTGTAGCAACTACTACTTGACAAAAAGGCTGACAAATATGTATTTAAAGCTGTATTTTGTAATGAATATGAAAGCATATGCAGAAATTATTGTGAAGCTTCGCAGACAGATGCTTTAATGAAGTTTATTGGTGTCCTTTCACTGCGTGAAATGAAATGGTGAATAAACATGCATAAAACACTTATACAGCAGTCTACACAGGCCTATGTCACATTAAAACAACCCATGCAAGTGGGGTAAGCAGGAGTTTTTATGACTTACATGTGCTTAGATATACATATAAATAATTATTATTGATGTAACCACATTAGAAATGTACCAAATCAAATGCCTATGGAGTGGATATTATTGATCCTATGTTGTCAGAGTTAGTGTTTTGTTCTGATTGGCCTGTTTTTCTTAATACGTTTCTTAAATGTACTGGAGAAAAAGGAAACAATGGTTTGTAAGGCTCTCGGTATGTCATTTACATGTACTGAATTTTTATTATTCAGCTATTGCCAAGTAATGAAAAATTAAATTAAATAAGTAAATATGCAGATGTGGCGGGGGGGCAGGTGGGCTGATGGAGCTAGACCTCCAATCTGACAATATTAATGATTTACCCGACTACGCCACCTTGGGAATTTCACCCAAAGTATTTAAATACACGCACCACCCATATAAAAGGCACGCACAAGTTCGTTCCACCAAATTGCAGTCAGAGACATTGGCACGGTACAAAAATAGGATTTCTTTATTTTCAAATCTCAAATAAAAACAGCATTAAAACCAATATGTTGACATTGACACTGACAGTTTGTAAATTTTATGAAGGTGCTCCAGGGCCAGAGCTCGCCAGCGTTAGGGAAAGTGGCCAGGCTATACTTCAGGCAAGTGAAACCCACTACAATCCACTGTGTAAAAATAAGAGCACCCACACGCACAAACCAGCACACAGTGAGCACTGCACTACACACTGTGAGAAATTCTAAAATGTCCAATAAAATTAGCCTCCCACCCCAGGGAGCTCTGGCTCTGTCACCAGCCGAAAGGTCGGACCACTGCCCTGCAATTAAACAAAAGAATAAATCAATTTACACAAGTAAAAAAATAAACAAAATACAAATGTAATGGAGTTGATAAATGAAAACAAAGAAAAAGCAACTAAATTCCACCTTAAAAAGGGAGGAAACAATTAAATCTTAAACCAAATTAAAGAGAAAATAAATGAAATGAAAATACAACAGTAAAGATTTACACAAAAAGCACAAAAATGTAAGGAAAAAAAATCAACATGCTCCATGAATGTCAAAATAATAAAAATAAACAAATCCAGCCGCACTATATAGATTTATCCAATAAAGAAAATGAAACCCAAACAAACAAAGATAGATAAATGTACCAACAAGAAAATAAATTAAATAATCCTTGTGTAAACCAAAAAAAACACTCAAAAAGATAAACAATTAAGGAAACAAAGACAAAATCTAAGAAAACAGAAAAAAACACGGGAAACAGGACAGCACTGTAGCCGCACACGGATGCGGAGCGCCCGAGGGAGCTCCCCTCGCAGAGTGCCACCCAGCCTACTGCTCACCGAAGGGAATCGGGGTTCAATCAGTCACTTAAGAGGCAGATAGCACGTACATTTCAGTCAACAGCCGGCACAGCCAACAAACAGTCGCGCACCCGCATCTGGTTCTCGCAGCTGAGAAAAGCGGACACAGCGTTTCCAAAACGATCGCGACAACCAAAACATGAGACAGACGCTTGCTTACCTTTTCCAGTCCTTACACGCGTTCTAGCGTTGGCGATTGCAGCCAAACAATTCAGGCGAAGCAACTTCCAGCCCGATCAAAAACCCCTCACCGCCCTCAACAGGTGTGGGAAGTGACGACGCGCGCTCACGGCGCCGCAACTAATCAAGTGACGCATCCCAGGTAGCAAATGCTTCCCTCTTTTTATAGCCCGTATGCCGTATTGTGATAGGGCAGAGAAAAGGACCCGTAAATTAATGACACTTGGCAACTTCATGATTCATAGGTCCGCTTCTCACCTCTCCTACACCTCGGGGAAGATGATGCAAGTTCGTATGCTGTCCTGCCCCAACTCGGGCTGAACGACGAGGAGGGACCACACTGTCGTTAGGAGGCTCGGTAAGTACTTCCCGTTCCCTTGCTACAGGTTCTACCCCTGGTCCTTGTGGTTCAACCACAATGGCCCTTACAGGAGAGAGGTCCCCGGGCAAATCTTCCTGAACCCTAGACTGCATCGGATGCGAGCCATCTCGAGGTCCCACCCCTTGAGTGGCCTGAGGGACCACTGGCACCATCACCGCCAAATCGACAGCCTCTAAATCCAATTCCTGAGCATCCTCCTGAGGGTCCTCTTGAATCTCCTCACAACACCTTTCGGCTGGTCACTACAGACCTTTCCTCTCGGAACACAGGCCTTCAACTGTGACCGATGTACTCGCCTCATCTTACCTGGGCTTGTAACTGGTGCAATGGCATATACCGCCCCTCCTTCCTCAGCGGAGTGGACGACCCGATAGACAACAGAACTCCACAAGTCTTTAATCTTGTGGCGTCCCCTTACTGCGTGGTCCCTTAGATAAACTAACTGACCTTCCACCAGGGGTTGATCTCGAACATGCTGGTCATGCAGGTTTTTCCGCCTGGCTGCTGCAGCCTTCAATCGTCCCTGTGCTCCCTCAAAGGCAACCTGCAACCGCCTACGATGTTCCAAGACCCAGTGATGTACACTACCTACAGTGGGTTCTGGTACCTGGCCCAGCAAGAAATCTACTGGCAGCCGGGGCTCTTGACCGAACATGAGGTAATGTGGAGACTCTCCTGTCACTTGGTTAGGGGTGGTGTTATAGCAAAATATCACCTGTGACAGACAAGACACCCAGTCCCTTTTTCTAGAGTCTGGCAAGGTTCGCAACAAGTTATGTAATGTGCGATTGAATCTCTCACATTGCCCATTGCCAGCTGGATGGTATGGGGTGGTACGGGATTTCTTTACCTGGTACAGCTCACAAAGCTGCCGTATAAGAGTGGATTCAAAGTTGCGGCCCTGATCTGAATGGATACGTCCAGGAACCCCATACTTGTAAAACCATTCCTCAACTAGAACCTTGGCCACAGTCTCTGCTCTTTGGTCACGAGTGGACACTGCCATAGAGAACTTACTAAACACATCGGTCATCACTAACACGTTCTCCTTCCCACAATATGAAGGCTCGAGCATGGTAAAGTCGATTGCAAGAATTTCATTAGGCTTTGAGGCCAGCAGGTGGCCCATGAATGCCCGTGCCACCGGCCCAGTGTCTTTGGCAAGTTGACAGCGTTCACACTCGTGGCACCACCGGGTAACATCAGCCAACATATTAGGCCAATAACAACGCTGTCGGATTAACTCACTGGTGTGTTCTACTCCTTGATGGCCATGCTGTTGGTGCAGCTGTATCCAGACCTCTTCCTTCAAAACATCAGGTAACACAAGCTGATGACATACTTCCCCTCCATCAGGACGGAATATCTTGCGGTACAAAACTCCTTCCCTCTCCTCAAACCTATTCCACTGCTGGAGTAGGGTCAAGACCGGTTTGGTTAGAAGTTTCCGCTCCTCTAATCCTGGACGTTGGCCCTGCTCCCAGAACCTTATTACTGGTCCAATAACAGGATCAGCCTCTTGCATACAGCGAAGGTCAGGGACAGAGTAGCCCGGCAATGTGCTTATAGTCCGCATATCTGCTTGGACCGGACAGCCCTTACTAATGGCCTGCTGCAAGGCTTCGGGAATCTTAGAGCTAACTGCTAACTCCCCAACTACACTCTTGTCAACCAAATTCTGGCGGGAGAGCGCGTCAGCATTTCCATTACTCTTTCCTGCCCTGTACTTGACCTCAAAATCGAATGCGGCTAACTCAGCGGCCCAACGTTGCTCTGTGGCTCCAAGTTTTGCTGTAGCCAAGTGACTCAGAGGATTATTGTCTGTAAACACAATACACTTGTGCCCCAAAAGATACTCACGAAACTTTTCAACCATAGCCCATTTAAGGGCGAGAAACTCTAGTTTCATTGAGCTATAATTAGTCATATTTCGCTCTGAGGGCCTGAGACCACGACTGGCATAGGCGATGGGTCGAACCTTCCCTTCGAAGTCTTGGGACAAAACTGCCCCCAAACCTCCATAACTGGCATCTACCTCCAGGATGAAAGGCTTTGAGAAGTCTGCATAAGCTAATATTGGGGCGGATGTTAACTTCCTCTTTAGGGCCTCAAAAGCCATCTGACACTGCTCGGTCCATACATGAGTCAAACTCTGTTTTCTATGCTTACCTGACTTACTCCCTCCAACTTCTGCCACTAATCGGTGGAGGGGGGCGGCCAGCTTAGCAAACCCTTCCACAAAACGCCTATAATAGCTCGCAAAGCCAAGAAATGTTCGTAGCTCGGACACGGTCCCCGGGCAGCGCCAATGTGTGACCACCTCTATTTTACCTGGATCAGTTGCTACCCCCTGAGCAGATATAACGTGACCCAAGTACTTTACTTCACGCCGGAAGAAAGCACATTTCTCCAGCTTGGCCTTGAGCCCTTCCTTCTCTAGACGACCTAGTACCATCTCCAGCCTCTCCAAATGTTGGTCTATGGAGGAAGAAAACACCACAACATCATCAAGATACAAAAGCAGGGACTGACACCGCTGGTCCCCGAATAACCGCTCCATCAACCTTTGGAATGTACTTGGAGCATTACAAAGGCCAAAGGGCATACGGTTCCATTCAAACAATCCAAACGGTGTACAGAACGCAGTTTTCGGCTTATCCTGCTCAGAAACTGGAACTTGCAAATACCCGCTGGCCAAATCCAACGTAGAGAACCAGCGAGCACCAGATAAGGAGTCCAAGGACTCCTCAATGCGAGGCAGAGGGAATGCATCCCTCCTAGTCTTGGCATTCAAATGACGGTAGTCTACACACATGCGCAGGCCACCGTCCTTCTTCTTTACCAAGACTATCGGGGACGCATAAGGACTGCAACTCTCCCTAACTATTCCAGCCTCTAACAACTGATTAATATGGGTTTTTACTACCTCATACTCAGATGGTGGTATTCGCCGATAGCGTTGGCGCACTGGAGCATCATCCAACAGCGGTATGTCATGGGAGATAAGACTGGTACAACCCAGATCACTCTCATGATCCGAAAACACAGCTTGGTACTTCTGCAGAAGAGCCCGAACCTGCTCAGGTGGAGACAGAACAGATAGATCAAGTGACTCAATCTGTTGAAAAAAAGAAGGACTCCCAACCACACTATGAGATTGAATCATAGCAGCCACTGGTTTTTCTTCACTAACCCCAGCTGGCAGACTAACTATATAGACCTCTTTCAAATTACCCATCATTGTTGCAGGACGAAGCACTACCTCCACTGCACCAACATTTACTATTGGTACATAGACTGTTCCCCGATTTACGCTTACCAAAGCTGGTGATGCCAAAAGTCCAGCAGGAAGACCAGACTCTGGGGGCTCAAACAAAACGACATGGCCAAAATAGTGGGCCGAACAGGTTGCAGCCACTAACTTCATTGTGCCACCCGGGATGCGACACACTCTACGCCCACGAACCCGCACGCACCCCACATGATCAGAAGGTTTCCTAGCACTTACTTGATGACAGTACTGTAAGGCGCTCGACACACTAGGCAATTGTGTTAGTAAAGGTAGGTTAAACAGAGCATTACCATGCTGTCCAAACAGTTCCTGGTAGCACCGGGAGAGGATGTTCATCCCCAGTACCCCAGGAACTTCCAGACTCATACCTTCTAGAGGGTCCCGAACCACCAGAAGGCCGCACCCAGTAACCAACTTGCCACAAAGTTTTACATCTAACTCAAAGTAGCCCACATATGGAATAGTGAGCCCATTAGCTGCTCGTAACTGCAACCACTGACAACTTTGAAGGCGGTCCAGGCCCCATGGCTCAAAATGTTGCCGAAAACAACCCTCTGTAATTGTTGACACCATCGAGCCGGTGTCAACCAAACAGGGCACTGCAACACCCCCTATGAGAGCGGTCACATGTGGGCAAGGAGAAATCAATTTAGAAACTGAGTGGTGTGCAAGAATCTTACTTGAGTCAATACCTTCCCCACCCAGGCTGTGACTCCGCAGCCTGGTGGGGGCTAGTTTCCCGACGGTTGGGGCGAGCGCTGTCGTCTATTCTCAGCTGTAACAAAACCAGATGCAGCCTGAGGAGGGCGTGGGAAACTCCTTTGCCCCCTACAATCACGGGCAAAGTGACCTGGCTGTTGACACCGCCTACAAACAATTGGACCTGATCGAGAGGAATTACTCTGAGCATGTGACGTTTGAAATCGTGCAAATGTTTGAGTTAACTGGTTTAGCTGCTGTTGTTGTTGCCGCAGCATTTCCCTTAGTTCACCCAACTCTGACTGTTGTGATGATCTAACTACCCCCAAAGGTGTTTCACTGCGTACCCCATATTGGATACCATAAGTTAACGGGACCGACTGACTACGTCCCCTTGCTCCCCCGGGCATCCCCTCTTGTTCCCATCTAATTGCCTCACTACGGACCTCTAATAAGGTGGCAGTAGGCTGGCGACGAACCATCTGTTTCAACTCGCGTCTCAGGGCACTATCTGTGACATGCTCCACAAATTGGTCACGCAACAAAATTTCTGCATTGGGGAAAACGTGTGGCGCTCTATTTTTAACCCTTTCTAATAAGCCCATGAGTGCAAGAGAAAACTCTAAAAGAGTCTCACCCTCGAGTTGCTTCCTTGAGAAGAAGGCTTCTTGCAAGGCTACATATGACTGAGAGCAACCATAGACGTCACGCAATGCCTGAATAATTCGGTTGGGGTCCCCACGTTCTAAATCAGAACGATATCTGATCTCCTCTCTGGCCTCTCCTTCTAAATGATCAATTAAAAAGAAAGCTTTATCAGCTACTGACATATAGCGCAACCTCATGCATGCCTGTGCCTCCTCAACCCATTCGTCAATAGTCAAACCCGATTTACCATTAAACTTCGGGCACCGCCGATCTCGTGGCACAAAAACAAACCGCTCTGGTGTAACGCCAGATGGCGGCGGCGTAACAGGCGGAACCGCAGAGGTGCTAGGGAGGGCAGCATCAGGGACAGGCAACCCAACCGGTGCCTGAGCCTGTTGCAGCCGCGCGTTATCAGCTCTTAATTGAACAACCAAATCTCGCAATTCTTGTAGTTCTTCATCCATTATTATAAGGAGAGGAAAATACACTTACCCAGGAAGGAGGGAACCACTAAACGAGGCTACAAAAGACCACAAACTGCCGTCCTGTTTCCCAAAAAGAAGCTGAAAAAAAAAACTGAAAGAAAAGGAAAAAAAACACCAATGTCTCTGACGCTAAATTATGGTGGATCCTGCCGACTACGCCAAGATGTGGCGGGGGGGCAGGTGGGCTGATGGAGCTAGACCTCCAATCTGACAATATTAATGATTTACCCGACTACGCCACCTTGGGAATTTCACCCAAAGAATTTAAATACACGCACCACCCATATAAAAGGCACGCACAAGTTCGTTCCACCAAATTGCAGTCAGAGACATTGGCACGGTACAAAAATAGGATTTCTTTATTTTCAAATCTCAAATAAAAACAGCATTAAAACCAATATGTTGACATTGACACTGACAGTTTGTAAATTTTATGAAGGTGCTCCAGGGCCAGAGCTGGCCAGCGTTAGGGAAAGTGGCCAGGCTATACTTCAGGCAAGTGAAACCCACTACAATCCACTGTGTGAAAATAAGAGCACCCACACGCACAAACCAGCACACAGTGAGCACTACACACTGTGAGAAATTCTAAAATGTCCAATAAAATTAGCCTCCCACCCCAGGGAGCTCTGGCTCTGTCACCAGCCGAAAGGTCGGACCACTGCCCTGCAATTAAACAAAAGAATAAATCAATTTACACAAGTAAAAAAATAAACAAAATACAAATGTAATGAAGTTGATAAATGAAAACAAAGAAAAAGCAACTAAATTCCAACTTAAAAAGGGAGGAAACAATTAAATCTTAAACCAAATTAAAGAGAAAATAAATGAAATGAAAATACAACAGTAAAGATTTACACAAAAAGCACAAAAATGTAAGGAAAAAAAATCAACATGCTCCATGAATGTCAAAATAATAAAAATAAACAAATCCAGCCGCACTATATAGATTTATCCAATAAAGAAAATGAAACCCAAACAAACAAAGATAGATAAATGTACCAACAAGAAAATAAATTAAATAATCCTTGTGTAAACCAAAAAAAACACTCAAAAAGATAAACAATTAAGGAAACAAAGACAAAATCTAAGAAAACAGAAAAAAAAACACGGGAAACAGGACAGCACTGTAGCCGCACACGGATGCGGAGCGCCCGACGGAGCTCCCCTCGCAGAGTGCCACCCAGCCTGAACAAATAAATCAATAGTCATGATAAAGTCCAAAATCTGCTATAAGCCATTTGCAACTACATGCAAACACCTACCTACTGCTCACCGAAGGGAATCGGGGTTCAATCAGTCACTTAAGAGGCAGATAGCACGTACATTTCAGTCAACAGCCGGCACAGCCAACAAACAGTCGCGCACCCGCATCTGGTTCTCGCAGCTGAGAAAAGCGGACACAGCGTTTCCAAAACGATCGCGACAACCAAAACATGAGACAGACGCTTGCTTACCTTTTCCAGTCCTTACACGCGTTCTAGCGTTGGCGATTGCAGCCAAACAATTCAGGCGAAGCAACTTCCAGCCCGATCAAAACCCCTCACCGATAAACAATTAAGGAAACAAAGACAAAATCTAAGAAAACAGAAAAAAAAACACGGGAAACAGGACAGCACTGTAGCCGCACACGGATGCGGAGCGCCCGACGGAGCTCCCCTCGCAGAGTGCCACCCAGCCTACTGCTCACCGAAGGGAATCGGGGTTCAATCAGTCACTTAAGAGGCAGATAGCACGTACATTTCAGTCAACAGCCGGCACAGCCAACAAACAGTCGCGCACCCGCATCTGGTTCTCGCAGCTTTTCCAGTCCTTACACGCGTTCTAGCGTTGGCGATTGCAGCCAAACAATTCAGGCGAAGCAACTTCCAGCCCGATCAAAAACCCCTCACCGCCCTCAACAGGTGTGGGAAGTGACGACGCGCGCTCACGGCGCCGCAACTAATCAAGTGACGCATCCCAGGTAGCAAATGCTTCCCTCTTTTTATAGCCCGTATGCCGTATTGTGATAGGGCAGAGAAAAGGACCCGTAAATTAATGACACTTGGCAACTAATTACCTCTCCTGCCACACAGAGTTTTATAATATGGCACATTTAAGTAATAACGTAATGGTGATACATTAAAATGAATCTGCATTGTTAAATTACACTGTCCATTCCAGATCAATAAGATCTAGCCTGGATGCCAGATCCTGTCAGAAAATGTCTGTTTCTTTGGGTATCCAGACAAAAATTGGTCCCACTTTATATTAAGTAACCTTAACTAAAATGTACTTACACAGGAATTAATAGTTTGTTGTGTACTTATTGTGTAAATACATGTATTTATTATGTACTACATATCTGTATGTAATTACATCTGTAATTAGCTTCTGTAATTACATTTGTAAATATACTGTTGACCTTACATTACACCTTAACCCACCCTTAACCTACCCATACCACCAAACCTGTCCATAACCCAACCTCTATCCCAACTCAAGAGCACCACAAGTGTTCTCAAATACATTAGGAACACAGTAAGTACATTGTATTTATTTTTTGATACAAGTACATAGTAGTTAAGGACACTTAATATAAAGATGGACCCAACAAGCCAGGAGAGGCGCTAAGTACTCAAACCTGTTAACCAATATTCAACTGATTTAAAAATCTTTTATCAATATAGGAGTTGACTGCAAAATCAAAAAAGAGCAAAAGCAGGAGAGGAAATGACCTAAACCCAACTGACAGTGTTTTCAAAAGCAATCCAGAAAAAGATAAGCCCTCGTTGCAGCCTGATTTTTACCACACTTTCAGATTTAACCACATTTTCACTCTGTTATTTACTTGTTTGTTTTTTTTTTTTTTGGAAGTGTTCTTCACAAGACTTGAACCTCGATGTCACGGTCAACACCTCTCAGTCTCGCAAGTCCAATGTACCAATGTTCATGGCAAGCCACTGGACAAACTTAGAACAACAAAAAAGCCGTCCATACGGAGGTAAGCGTTCAACTGTTAAGTGCAAAAAGGAATGGCGTTATACCACCCCATAGCATTCGTTTAAAAATCAATATATCGGCCTCACACGGATTCGCAAAAAAATACTGCGAAAATGCCTACATCCCGGGACGTACTTCGCGGCCTCGAGAAACATTCATGGGACTACATTTTTCAGAATGAGCCTGGGTTGGAAAATAGGGTTGACTTCAGAACCCAATGTCAGGCCGACGTCAATGTTCAACGTCCAACCTAAAATTAATTAAATATTAATGCCTCATCTTGTTACACCTTGACTTGTGTGGACTTTACCACTATGAAATCTACCAGACATTGGATTTTGGTCAGTTTCCAACAAAATCTAAAATTAACGTAATTTGACGTCATTTTTGGACATCAAAATAACGTTGTCCTTAGGCACTGGCTAGACATTTAATTTTGATCAACTGACGTCATGACCTAAATCTAACCTAATATTAAAAACGTCTTATGATGTTGTGTGCCTGCTGAGTATGTTAAAACAATGTAACTGCAACTCAAAGAGTGAAAAATGCTAAATCCCCGAGTGAATCCATACATCATTGGATAAGTTTGAAAGTGTTTTGACCCATTTAGGAAGTAGTGTTCCAATGTACAGAACTTGTCATTTGAAATCAGAACATATGAACAACTGCGTAATGTCCAGATGGCTGTGTTAATTGTTTTGAGACTATGAGTTTGGGAAAATGAGCAAATCGTTTGAGAAAAACTGAAATTGGGATGTTTGAGCTGTAAGCAATTTTTGGGCATCTGCCTGAAGCTAGCAGATGTTATGTGTTGGGTGGGATGAAGTGTTTTGTTTTGTTTTTTTTACTTTTCAGCATATGTGTTGTTGCATTCAATGTACAGTCCTGGAATTCAGTTGAGGGAGGTCTGTATTGACAGTGTTTTAGATTTAAAATGTGGAATACTTGCTCTTACATACTTTCCCCCTGAATTAGTTATAAAAAAGGCTGACTGACAAGTTCGGTAAATAGGAACGTGTGAGTAAATGAGAGGAAAAACTAAAAGCTATAGAGATCAGTGTTACAGGTACAGTATAATTGACCATGTCATAAATCAAAACCTTGTATTCTGATGAGATAGGTGTACAGCCAATTTAAACCAAAAGGAAGAATATTCAGCCTATAGTGAACTAGCATTTTCCACATTTGCAAAGATTCCTAAAAAAGGAGGAGAGGAATTTCCCATCATCCATATGTCCAGGTAAGGCGGCACATCTTTAAAAATGAATAGAGGTTTAGAACAAAACCAAACAAAGCACAGGCGTCAAACAAGCCTAACTGTTCTGTTGTACGGTCGTTTTAAAGATTTATTGAGACTGAAGCCGGGCCAGCGCTTCACACAGTAATATATGAGTATGAGGCTGTTTTCAACTGCCAGCACACAGTGAGAGGTAAAAATGTGTTTGGAAATTAACCAGGGGTGCTTTTCCCAAACAACGTGACTCACTGCTTAACTACCTCAGTACAATAAAACTAACCAGCTAGTCATATATTATATTCATTATAATGATTCAAAATAATGTAAGAATTTTTGCAGTAAATATCAAACAAAGCTTTGTTGTTTTGGTATTGTTCCCTACAAAACTTTATAATGGTTAAAGAGCACATATGTTTATGCACAGTATTTAAATGAGCTAATAATATGTCATGTTAGAAAGAAACTATACTCTTAACCTTAGGTTTAATATTTGATCTGTAAAGCCTACTAGTGTCACGAGTAGAAGAAGGAGTGAACTCAAGTGCAGAACACAAAGTGTTTATTAAGGAGAAAGTCTTTGCAAAGGAACAAAAAACCCAATCGGGTGAGTGCCGGGGGAGTGCCGTGGAAAACAGTCCAGAAACAAACGGGAGAATCGTTCGCTGGCAGCCCTGGACACAAATATGGTGTGAGTAACAGACCGTTATACACACACACCAACGACAACAGACTGACAAACATGAAGGGAAATGACGTG